TACTTAAGCAGTCTGTGCTAGTGGAGTAAAGTGGGATACCTCTTTAACTCCCCAATTATCTCCTTAAACATATTATTGACAAGCCTTGAAGAGAGATGCCTCCTTTTACAAGCCTGAGGCCTATGACTCTTCATAGCAATATTGGCAGGATGGACCCTGATATTTAAATATAACATTGTCTTTTTAGTATATAAATAGTGTCATTAAGATTATAAATTAACGTATAGAATGCATGCAGTCAACTGCATATTTTACAAGCAATATCTAGATTAAGGAGTTTTATCTTTGGCAGGCCAGTATCCAGCTGGACATGCAATATTTACACATCAAAAATTGATAAAACAATATTCAAGTTATGTTGAAGCAATGTTCCCTCTAAGCCATGAGATAGACACACTCTCGTACCTCTCCAGCTTGTGCGGAACCACAAGTCTATAATAGCCACTGGCTGTCATAGAATAGTGGTGATCAGCTGCTGGAGTAATGTAGGAAGCCCACCCTAAATGATGAGCCTTGGAATGGGCTATTATCACTAGTAGATAAGAACTCTAGCCCAAACCTTTTAGCTTCAGGTAGACTGGGATTAGGGCACCTGTTATGTGAAGTTGTGTGTAAAAGCTAAATGCACTTCAAGCCTTTTTCAGCACAAAAACTTGACGCTGTAAACCAATGATGTAGAAAACAGTCTATTCTCTATTTGGCCTCCCAATGGTCCACGTAATGTCTTTCAGCTCAGGTACTTTGTAGCTTTATAAAAACTAGGAGCATCTGCCAATCTGGGGACAGGGAAGCTGGGGTCCTGCCATATAAAACAATGGGCAATATACCCAAATCCCCACATTCAGACTAGCACGTGTGCCTAACTTCGGAGCTAGCAAGACTACTTAGATGTACTGCAGGGTCCTATTAAGTTCTTTAAAGACTGGGCTAGGCAAATTAATTTTTTAAGCTTCAAACAAGCCAATATTTTAGCCTGGAACTCAAAGCATCCAACTAAATACACAGTTTAAAATAAATAAATAAATAAATATATATATGATCCACCTCTCTTTGCCACAGCCATACTGCATAGTCAGGAGGAGGACGACACTGCTTTTTGCAGCTCAGTTTTTACAGCTTCCTTTGTTGTCTTACTGCTCACTAAAGAGAGGAACTAACACTTATTCATTGTCTAATGTGCAGCTGTAAAGTTAAATCAGGAATTAGGGGTGTTACATACCTGACTGTGCAGCATGGCACAGGCATGTGACCAACTAAACAAGATTCCCTTGAAAGGTTAAAGGGTTTACATATATGTTTTTCACATGTGTTTTTAGCTGGCTGCCTGAACTCTGTGTTACATAGCAATGCTCCAAAAAGTTTCTATTGCTAAGAAGAGTAGTCATTAAAGTCAGTGGCATAATCACAACTCTGACCAGCTATATGGCCAACCAGAAGAAAAGACTGTCTTCCTCATGGGGTTCCAGCAGTAAGTACAACTTCATCCAACAGGTGTTCATCACCCTTACACAAAGCTAGTTTAATAGTCCTGGTCTTTATGTTTCTACCCTAAAATGACTTCAAAGAGAAACTGGTATCCAGTGCAACCTCACAGAATGGAATGAAGATCCATGTTTATCATAGTCATTCCAGTTCAATCGGCTTAGAGTGAACAATGCGCTTTAAAATTATTTACTACTGCATATATCCATATATATGCCTACTGGACGTGTGCATCTATGCACCCATACACCCACTCACGCATATACAATATATGTTATACATGTATCTCGTCTTTTTCAGAATCCGGGGTTACCGGCCTGGAAACACTAAAAATATCCTGACATGGTATCTGAAGGGGGCTGGATGGAGTTTTGGGGGGCGTTGGGGGTGTTTTCCTTTCCGATAATAGTTTTAGGATTTCTGCCACCTGCTGTTCAAGGGCTGACATGCGAGAGCTCAAAGATTGAATATCCTCCTTAAGCTCATGTTTGACTTCTTGCAGAGTGGTCTGTAAGGCCTGTTCAGGGATAGGATAAAAAGGGTGCTTTGCATCAGCTTGAATCGGGCTGTGTTCAAGCGGGCTACGTGTTTCCCCTGCTTTGTCCAACCGAAGGTCACTTTTTGTTATTCCGCTATCACATGAGTCTGTTTTCCTCAAGGGATTTTTAGACACCCCGTTTTCAGGGTCAATTGATTTTGGGTCATCTGTCAACAAACCCATGGATTCTGCCTTTGTGACATTATTCCAGTCCTCTTTTTTCTCCTCGTGGGCCTGCGTGTTGTTCTTTAATCTCAGCCAACCCTTGCCATTAGCGTTCTTGACGCGTATGGGGCTAGTAACCTTAAGACAATTTGGGTCACTGCCACCATTTGGCTTCAACTCTATCGCATCCCTGTTGTTCTGTTTCAAAGACTCACTGGTTCGAACGTAAGAAAGAGATGTCTGAATGGGAGTTATCTGGGACACGGTTACAACACTAGTGCCAGTAATGACAGCTCCATTGTGCATGGAACGATTCTGAACTTGGAGCTGGTTCCTTTCCAGGTCAGTGTGCGTCGAGCCCTGGTTTCGTAATTCTTTCTGCTGTTTAAATTTCTGAAAGAGCTTCCGTACAGGGTGGTCTACGGGGATAGTAAGGGTCACTTCATTCTTCTGCCGCTGACGCTCCTCTTCTTCTTTCTTGACATCACTGATTTTTCGGAACACAATCTAATGGAACGAGATACAAAAAGGAAACAAAGGAAAGGTCATTAAAAAACTAAAGTTACGTCTGGGTTTTCTGCAAAAAGAAATACGACATGCTTGGTTAGAAATATTTACACTGTGGTTTATTTTTTTTTATTTATAAATTCATTGCTCCCAGGCAGGAGACTGAAATATTGTAATAAGCATTTGGTTGGAAAAAAATGCTATTTGGTTACAGTGCGTACTCTTTCCCTGTGTGACAACTGTGTTCTGTATCCTGAGACTGGAAAGAATAGAACAAATAACTGTATGGAATGTTAAAGATCCGTGTCGCCAGACCATTCATTTCAGCAAAATGTTCCAATAAGATTTTATGTGCCTTTAACATACATTTGCATTTAATTTACCAGTAAAATCTTCCCTTGTGTAGACATCTGACGTGCTGTTGGGCACCACTATCTTGGATGTGAGCAGACACTGAGCTGTCACTCAAGTGACACGCTATAGTATTCCCTTACGCTTCTCCCCAAGCTGCTACATTAAAGGATATAAAAGGAGGTGAAGAGAAGGTGGCCCAGCACGCAAAGTAATTAGATAGTACCAGAAGAGGAAAGAGCTATGATGCGCAAGCAGGGAGGTGACTGTGCTAGGGAATTGACTCTTTTGGAGTAGTCAAATTTTCTAGCATATTCAAAGGCACATTGTAAGTATAATAATACAATAATAAAAACAAATTATAACAAATAAAGAATTAAGTTGGTGACAGAGTCTCTTTTTCAAAAAAAACTTTCACAAGTGACTTATTTTCATCCCATTTTAGAGCAAGTTTTACCATACAGATTCTGTAATCTAGGAGATGCTGTCTGAATTAACAGTCTACAGTATTATCTGCTCAATTTCCACTAGCACATGCTATCATTACATTATTAAAGTTTTTGTCCATGGTTCATTATCCCTCTAATTAGCTAAACAAATGACAGTTTTTTTTAGATAAATGCCTTAAGCTGCTAGGTGCCAAGAAACCTTTTGCAAAGTCATTTGAAATAAGCACTGTAAGGACTGCTACAAAAGTGTTAAAAAATTTGCAAGAAGCTGGATCATCACCTAACCCCCATCCCCCACCCCTCTCGATTGTTTCCATTAGTTATTGAGGAGGGATCAGATACTAAAAAGGTTTATATCTATCCCTATAGCTTTTGATGGCTAGAGAGGTGTAAAATAATCAACTCTGACTCATATGTACCCTGAATGACCCAAATTCAAAGATCATTAACTGAAAAATGCAAGGAATGCAAAGTGGTTTCGTATAAATTCCTATATATTACGGTCAAGATTTGTAAAAAAAATTCTAATTGGGTAAATATTAAATACTGAATATTTATATTTCCTCTCTCTATCACTTATTCTAAAGATCCTGTTAAAAGAGCTCAGTATCTCAAGCTGAAATGTACTGCTCTGGGAATCCTGGTATGTATTAAATGGTTATTTGTAAAACATTGTGTGTGTGTGTGTGTGTGTGTGTGTGTGTGTGTATTCAGTTAAAAAGATATACTCATAAACAAAAAAAACAAAACTGACCCAAACTACTATAGTTTCCATTATATAGTGCAGCAAAGAAAAGGATCAGGAAATATGACAATGCACTGCATTGGAAATATGCAGAATTGCAAAGAGTACAACTTAGTTTTTTCATTTCTGTTTGGGTGGATTTTGGTGTTCACTAAGAAAAGAAATGAGGAAAAATCCCACCAATAGGGACACAGACAACAATAAAGACACAGTTTAAGGAGAGCGGGTAAGGGTTAGAAGCATTGTTGGATTTTGATTGTTGTTTGCAACCCTATTCTAGAGATTGTCCTCACGTTTGGACAGCAGATGAGATTATCCAAAACTAAAGAAAAATGTTTTGGCTGGAATTACACTTTTAAGTCTTGCATAAGAATAACTTCCGTCCTATTTTGACCAATTTGGTTTGGCAGTACTAGGCAAGGCTGTAGGAATATTACATAGAAAGAAACTGCGCTAGGAATCAAATAACACTCTAAGAGCAGCTGTGCTTAATAGGTGAGTACACCCAAAATAGGAAAAAAGAAAATAGCCCTGCGCTTCAAACTCAAAAATTATATTCCTAAAATGTGAAAAAAATAGTATAAAATGTGGAATTGTCACAAAGGGATACACAATTTTGTGTCATACACAATTGTGTGCCATACACAACACCTGTGTTGCACAATGCCTGTGCTGATGATAGTAAAAAAACAAACGTGCTAGTACATCTCATAAAATGTGTAAAGAACATAGAAAATCCTGTGTTGAATCTCACAAGTGATGTATAACTCCCACCTAATCTGCATAACCATGTGTGAAGTCCATTACTTCTGGATACAATAAAGTCCTTGTATGTGAGGATATATCTTCCTGCTTTTATAATCAACACCAACGTCCGTGAATGCAAAAACAATTAGTGAATCAGTGCTCTCCAGTCTCCACCGTGCTCAAAGATAAGATCTGGCCGCACTCACCGACTCCTATTGCTCACCATATTTCAGATGAACAATTAGCGCTTTGCTGATCTATATAGAACCAAATCCTCTCCTTTGTTTTTAATCCAACAATAAATTGGGGTAGATTCCTCCCAACTATGGCTTTTCTTTCCAAAATCGTGTAAAACTATTCCTCCATCTTCCACCTTCTCTTGTGCTCAGAGAGAGAAAAAAAGGCTTCCCATAGTGTAGTATGTCAGAATAACAACAATAATAACAAATAATTCAACATCCATTGTAACAAAAATTAGATCCTTTGTATCTTTTATTCCATCTAGGATTTTTATAACATCATTACTATCTTTTAGATAAGCTCTTGTCTTGTTAACCAGCGGTTGTAAAAATTGGTCCACATATTCCCCTGTGCGTGATAGTAATGATTTGATACCGCTCACAATTGGTCTACCCGAAGGGTTAGTCGCATCTTTATGTATTTTTGGCAACAAATACATTACTGGTATTCTTGAGGTGGACGGTAACAGATATTTATATTCTTTTTTATTTAGAATCCCTTTTTTCCATCCATCTTTCAACAGTTTCTCTAATTGCTTCTTATATTTGCTAGTGGGATCATTATTTAATTTTTTATAGGTATCCTCATCTCCCAATATTCGAGCCATTTCCCTCTCATAGTAACATCTATCTAGAACCACAACTCCTCCCCCTTTATCTGCGGGTCTGATTATTTTATCCTTCTTGCTCTCCAAACTTTTTATTCCACAGCTGATGTAATCCTTATCTTGTATATGCTGGAATTTCATTTCTCGTATCTCTGCTTCTACCAAGGATTTGAAAACTTCTATGTGATGATTCGAACTGTTTTGTGGATTGAAAACAGAATTATTCTTTAATGTTGCATGAGCAAATCTATCCGATATTTCTCCTCTGTTCCCTCTTACCATTGAACCTTGTGAATTAGCATAATATCTTTTTATATTTAACTTCCTAACACATTTATTCAAATCTATATAGGTGTCAAATTTGTTTAAATTTTTTACTGGTGCAAACTTAAGGCCTAAATCCAACACTCTATTTTCCTCCTCCATTAAGGGCGTGGAACTAAGGTTAAAAATTCCCTTACCAGTTAGTCCCATTTTCTTCTTGCTCCGTACTCTCTTACCTCCCCTACACCCCCTTCTCTTCCTCTGGTTTCTCTCTGCCATGGTCTGGGTGGGAAATTTCTTCCCTGGTGCCATCCCATGTTCCCATCCTCTCTGCGCCAATGATTCCCTCTTTTTATATTTGGTGTCCAAAAATTCTCTCTCCCTTCTTCTCTCTCTCTCATATGCTGATAATACTTTGGTGCCCATTGTCTCTCCTGTTATGTCCCCAGGGGTCTAATGGGCGTGTATTCCGTCCCCGTTCTAAAAAATCTCTCCTATCCTGACCCTGTTCTCTCATATTGGATCTATCATGATTATATGAGTGTTGATTATAAAAGCAGGAAGATATATCCTCACATACAAGGACTTTATTGTATCCAGAAGTAATGGACTTCACACCTGGTTATGCAGATTAGGTGGGAGTTATACATCACTTGTGAGATTCAACACAGGATTTTCTATATGTACACATTTTATGAGATGTACTAGCACGTTTGTTTTTTTTTTTGTTTTTTTTAACTATCATCAGCACAGGCATTGTGCAACACAGGTGTTGTGTATGACACAAAATTGTGTATCCCTTTGTGACAATTCCACATTTTAAACAATTTTTTTCACATTTTAGGAATATAATTTTTGAGTTTGATGCGCAGTGCTATTTTCTTTTTTACAAGGCTGTAGGAATATAGAGTGTACCTGGCACAGCTGTTACCCTGGAAGATAAAAACTGTAGCGAAAAATCTGAAAGAGAAGCTAATGTGTCTTGCCACATAGTTTTAATGTTGGTTTTGGTACTTCTATTTCAGCATCGCAGTAGATTTCTAGTAGTAACATGTAGCTTTCCAAACCTGCCGGACAGATATACTTATCCAGCAACATTCCCTCACCACTTTCCGTCCTGCCTGTCTGTCTGAGCTCTCTTGTTAGGGCCTAGACAGGGGGATGACAATGTGGCATTCCCCAACATGACAGTGTTTGGGCCTGGTGATTGGTTGCTTAGGCCAAAGTATGGTCAAATGCTCCCCCAAACCTGGAAGGCCTGATCCATTAGTGAGGGCTCAAGCAGTGCTGCGAAGCAGCAAAAGAGCATTGCTGGGTAAATACATCTACCTAGGGGTGGACTATGTGCAGACGTCCATGAGCAAGGCATGTGTGATAAAATGTACAGCTGTAAAGCCAGCCTAACCTCCAGGAGCCAATATAGGCCACAGGACTATTTAAAACGACTTTAATTTTGCCTCCCTCGTCAATCCTATTGCATTTAACTGCAATAGTGAAAATTTGGCGAAATGGCGGCAAAGCAAAAAGTTTAAGGGATCCCTATTAAAATCATTCTGCACCAGATAGACGCCAGCCCACAAAAAGGCCTCCCTGCAGT